GCATACTTGCTTTAATTATATTGATGCAGATAAATATTCTCCATTAATGCCAGCCAGCAGGTTGAAGTCAAAGCTCCTTTTCACATTTATTTCCAGTCTATCCTAATCTGTTATTTACAGAGCTCAATAGCTCAAGCTGATATTTACACACACAGAGCCATGATTTCATGTGACAGAGAGACAGTCTGAAGGGAAGTCACTTCTCCTGAGCCTTGCCATCCCCTTACCCATAATACTCTGCCATGTTGATGTCTGGGCAATGACAGTTCCATGTGACAGAGAGAGACAGTCTGAAGGGAAGCCACTTCTGCTAAGCCTAGTCTTCCCCTACCCATAATACTCTGCCATGTTGATGTCTGTGCAATGGCAGTTCCATATGACAGAGAGACAGTCTGAAGGGAAGCCGCTTCTGCTGAGCCTTGCCATCCCCCTACCCATAATACTCTGCCATGTTGATGTCTGTGCAATGACTGTTTCATGTGACAGAGAGACAGTCTGAAGGGAAGTCACTTCTCCTGAGCCTTGCCATCCCCTTACCCATAATACTCTGCCATGTTGATGTCTGGGCAATGACAGTTCCATGTGACAGAGAGAGACAGTCTGAAGGGAAGCCACTTCTGCTAAGCCTAGTCTTCCCCTACCCATAATACTCTGCCATGTTGATGTCTGTGCAATGGCAGTTCCATATGACAGAGAGACAGTCTGAAGGGAAGCCGCTTCTGCTGAGCCTTGCCATCCCCCTACCCATAATACTCTGCCATGTTGATGTCTTTGCAATGACTGTTTCATGTGACAGAGAGACAGTCTGAAGGGAAGTCACTTCTCCTGAGCCTTGCCATCCCCTACCCATAATACTCTGCCATGTTGGTGTCTGTGCAATGACAGTTCCATGTGACAGAGAGACAGTCTGAAGGGAAGCCGCTTCTGCTGAGCCTCGTCTTCCCCTACCCATAATACTCTGCCATGTTGGTGTCTGTGCAATGACAGTTCCATGTGACAGAGAGACAGTCTGAAGGGAAGCCGCTTCTGCTGAGCCTCGTCTTCCCCTACCCATAATACTCTGCCATGTTGGTGTCTGTGCAATGACAGTTCCATGTGACAGAGAGACAGTCTGAAGGGAAGCCGCTTCTGCTGAGCCTTGCCATCCCCTACCCATAATACTCTGCCATGTTGGTGTCTGTGCAATGACAGTTCCATGTGACAGAGAGACAGTCTGAAGGGAAGCCGCTTCTGCTGAGCCTTGCCATCCCTCTACCCATAATATTCTGCCATGTTGATGTCTGTGCAATGACAGTTTCATGTGACAGAGAGACAGTCTGAAGGGAAGCCGCTTCTGCTGAGCCTCGTCTTCCCCTACCCATAATACTCTGCCATGTTGGTGTCTGTGCAATGACAGTTCCATGTGACAGAGAGACAGTCTGAAGGGAAGCCGCTTCTGCTGAGCCTTGCCATCCCCTACCCATAATACTCTGCCATGTTGATGTCTGTGCAATGACTGTTCCATGTGACAGAGAGACAGTCTGAAGGGAAGCCGCTTCTGCTGAGCCTTGCCATCCCCCTACCCATAATACTCTGCCATGTTGATGTCTGTGCAATGATACATGTGGAAAGATTGATATATAATATTCCCGCACTGGCTCCTGGGAAGATGGCGCTCAGTGATTTCTGTCTGTCATTGTTTATGAATTGTGGGATGGAGCCTGAAAATCAAATCGTTTTGCTAATAAAATTAAAATGCGGAATTTATTTGATATTTAATCTTTAAAAAGGTAACAAAAATAAAATTGGATCCCATAGAACTCAATCTAACTATAACTATATAGAAGTAGATCTAACTTGTGTGACTTTGTTGTGGCCGGGCTGGTGCTGCATCGCCCCCCCTCCTGGAGAGGACGGGTAGTGCGGTCACATGGCGGTCAGAAAGGAGGGAATCTTGTTCTTCACATTGCTGGTGATCACTCCGGCCTTCTTCCTTATCGGGGAGAGCTGAGCCATCGCTCGGCTGTAGTTGTGCTGCAACAATGAAACGGTGACAATAACTTTTACTGTAAAACCAACAATGTCTGATAACCGGATCCCAACAACTCCTTCTCTTCTGATGGACCGGATTTTTTATTTTTTTATGGTATGAGTCGGTTTATTTGGCCTAAACAATGGCATTACCGTATTCTGCGCTCCATAAGGCGGACCTGACCATAGGCGGCAGGGAGGGGAGGGTTCTGTGACAGCTGCAGTTAGTGACAGCTGAGACAGGTGGCGCTGTGATGACAGACAGACGTTCTTTGTCTGCTCTACGAGCTCTATGGTGAGCTCCTATGCCGTGGTCACTGGTCCCCCAGAGGACCCCCGAAAACCATGGCGGGGGGGGGGGCCCGGACACGAAAGCTGCCGATCTGATTAGATCACTTGTATTAAACGAGCAGTGGCTCCCACTGTACATTTAGATCTGCTTGTCAGGAGCAGGCCTAAATGTACAAAAAAACTACTCGCCCGGCAACCGAAACTGCATGTCCCGGGCATAGGGCGATAGGGATTCGCTCCATAAGACGCACACACATTTCCCCCCGCCTTTTGGGGGGGGAAAAGTGCGTCTTATAAGAGACAGTCTGAAGGGAAGCCACTTCTGCTAAGCCTAGTCTTCCCCTACCCATAATACTCTGCCATGTTGATGTCTGTGCAATGGCAGTTCCATATGACAGAGAGACAGTCTGAAGGGAAGCCGCTTCTGCTGAGCCTTGCCATCCCCCTACCCATAATACTCTGCCATGTTGATGTCTGTGCAATGACTGTTTCATGTGACAGAGAGACAGTCTGAAGGGAAGTCACTTCTCCTGAGCCTTGCCATCCCCTTACCCATAATACTCTGCCATGTTGATGTCTGGGCAATGACAGTTCCATGTGACAGAGAGAGACAGTCTGAAGGGAAGCCACTTCTGCTAAGCCTAGTCTTCCCCTACCCATAATACTCTGCCATGTTGATGTCTGTGCAATGGCAGTTCCATATGACAGAGAGACAGTCTGAAGGGAAGCCGCTTCTGCTGAGCCTTGCCATCCCCCTACCCATAATACTCTGCCATGTTGATGTCTTTGCAATGACTGTTTCATGTGACAGAGAGACAGTCTGAAGGGAAGTCACTTCTCCTGAGCCTTGCCATCCCCTACCCATAATACTCTGCCATGTTGGTGTCTGTGCAATGACAGTTCCATGTGACAGAGAGACAGTCTGAAGGGAAGCCGCTTCTGCTGAGCCTTGCCATCCCTCTACCCATAATATTCTGCCATGTTGATGTCTGTGCAATGACAGTTTCATGTGACAGAGAGACAGTCTGAAGGGAAGCCGCTTCTGCTGAGCCTCGTCTTCCCCTACCCATAATACTCTGCCATGTTGATGTCTGTGCAATGACAGTTCCATGTGACAGAGAGACAGTCTGAAGGGAAGCCGCTTCTGCTGAGCCTTGCCATCCCCTACCCATAATACTCTGCCATGTTGATGTCTGTGCAATGACTGTTCCATGTGACAGAGAGACAGTCTGAAGGGAAGCCGCTTCTGCTGAGCCTTGCCATCCCCCTACCCATAATACTCTGCCATGTTGATGTCTGTGCAATGATACATGTGGAAAGATTGATATATAATATTCCCGCACTGGCTCCTGGGAAGATGGCGCTCAGTGATTTCTGTCTGTCATTGTTTATGAATTGTGGGATGGAGCCTGAAAATCAAATCGTTTTGCTAATAAAATTAAAATGCGGAATTTATTTGATATTTAATCTTTAAAAAGGTAACAAAAATAAAATTGGATCCCATAGAACTCAATCTAACTATAACTATATAGAAGTAGATCTAACTTGTGTGACTTTGTTGTGGCCGGGCTGGTGCTGCATCGCCCCCCCTCCTGGAGAGGACGGGTAGTGCGGTCACATGGCGGTCAGAAAGGAGGGAATCTTGTTCTTCACATTGCTGGTGATCACTCCGGCCTTCTTCCTTATCGGGGAGAGCTGAGCCATCGCTCGGCTGTAGTTGTGCTGCAACAATGAAACGGTGACAATAACTTTTACTGTAAAACCAACAATGTCTGATAACCGGATCCCAACAACTCCTTCTCTTCTGATGGACCGGATTTTTTATTTTTTTATGGTATGAGTCGGTTTATTTGGCCTAAACAATGGCATTACCGTATTCTGCGCTCCATAAGGCGGACCTGACCATAGGCGGCAGGGAGGGGAGGGTTCTGTGACAGCTGCAGTTAGTGACAGCTGAGACAGGTGGCGCTGTGATGACAGACAGACGTTCTTTGTCTGCTCTACGAGCTCTATGGTGAGCTCCTATGCCGTGGTCACTGGTCCCCCAGAGGACCCCCGAAAACCATGGCGGGGGGGGGGGCCCCGGACACGATCGCCGCCGCTCGATTTAATACAAGTGATCTGATTAGATCCCTTGTATTAGACGAGCGGCGGCTCCCACTCTACATTCAACTCTGCTTGCCCATAGCAGGGCTAAATGTACAAAAAAAACGACTCGCCCGGCGCCCGAAACTGCATGTCCCGGGCGTCGGGCGATAGGAATTCGCTCCATAAGACGCACAGACATTTTTGCCTCCTTTTGGGGGAAAAAAGTGCGTCTTATGGAGCGAAAAATACGGTACTTTGCAGGACGAACAAGACGTTCTTTTGGTTATAACGACTTGCAAAAAATATTTTATTTTTGACACAAAGTATCAACAAAAACCACAAACTATAGAAACACTTTTTTTTCTACGTCTGTGAAGGTTCCTATTCATCCGGGACATGGTACACTCACCGGCCACTTTATTAGGTACGCCTGTTCGGTTGCTTGGTAACACAAATCGCTAATCAGCCAATCGCATGGCAGCAGCTCGATGCATTTGGGCCTCTAGACGCGATGAGGACGACTGGCTGAAGTTCAAATCGAGGATCAGAATGGGGGAAGAAAGGGGATTGAAGTGACTGTGAACGTGGAATGGTTGTTGGTGCCGGACGGGCCAGTCTGAGTATTTCTGGGATTTTCACACACAACCATCTCCGGGGTTTACAGAGAACCAACACTTTGGAATTAAAAATAAACAAATGGGTTATACAATTATGGGGGTGCCGCTGGGGAAGTCAGAAATGGAGAAGATCGAATAACCCCTCGTTACACCCTCGGGATGCAGAATACCGTCTCTGAACGCACAACACGTCCAGCCTTGTATCAGATGGGTTCCAGCAGCAGAAGACCACACCGGGGGCCACTCCTGTCAGCTAACAACAGGAAACGGCGGCTACAATTCATGAGGGCGCACCAAAATGGGACAAAGATTGGAGAAACGTCGCCTGGTGTGATGACACTCGATTTCAGCTGCGACATTCGGATGGTCGGGTCAGAATTTGGCATAAACAACATGAAAGCCTGGACCCATCCTGCCTTGTGTCAATGGTTCAGGCCGGAGGTGGTTTCATGGTGTGGGGGAGATTTTCTAGGCACACTTTGGGCCCGTGACGCTATCGTGTCAATATGGACCAAAATCTCAGAGGAATGTTTCCAGCGCCTTGTTGATTCTATGCCACAAAGAATTAAGGCCAAAGGGGGTCCAACCCGGTACTAGCAAGGGGTACTTAAAAAAATGGCCGGTAAGTGTATATCTGTCTTCTCTCTGGGCAGCTTAATGACACCTGCTAGCTCCAATCATGCAAATGCAATCAGCACCTGACCTGCACAAGCTCTCTGACCCCCACGCTGGGTATGATAAACAGATTCTGTGGATTGGAGCAACATTCACCGTATTTCTTCCCAGGGAATGTTTGTACCAGTCATTCTGAACTGAGAAAGCCGGTCGGATGACAGCCAGGGGAGAGAGAGCCAGAGGAGAGACAGCACAGCCAGAGGAGAGAGAGAGGAGAGACAGCCAGGAGAGTGAGGAGAGACAGCCAGGAGAGTGAGGAGAGACCACCAGGAGAGAGACAGCCAGGAGAGTGAGGAGAGACAGCCAAGGGAGAGAGTGAGCCAGGAGAGAGAGGAGAGACAGCCAGGAGAGAGAGGAGAGACAGCCAGGAGAGAGAGAGGAGAGACAGCCAGGAGAGACAGCCAAGGAAGAGAGAGCAAAGAGAGTGTGCCCTTCACGACTTCTCTGCTCCCTGTGTTTCACTATGGGATCTATCTATAACCAGTCACATGACCCATCACCCTGCACACAGGTGTCAAGGTTTTGGGGTCCCCTCAGTATCTGGTTGTCGGTGTTTCGGGGTCTCTGAGGATCATACAAACCTTCTGGTTGAATCTGTTTCTGGCACTGATGAAAGGCAGAGAGCGCGGGTCCTGCATGAGCAGCTCCTGTTGTAGTTTCTCGTATCGCTCCTGTTCATCTTCACCCTGAGCAGCGTGAGAAGAAGACGACAATCTGTACAGAGGCTGACAACACCCCGGGGACCGTTCTCAATGCACAGGCTGGGTGACTACGCCGGCTCTGACTCCCAACTGACAACTTCCTACAACATTCCAGGTCAGACTTTCATATAATGGAGGAAAGTAAAAGCCTGGCACTCCACATGACAGCGTACTACGGGTCAGCTCCGCCTCCTGACCCCACAGGA